AAAAAGGGCAAAGCACTTCCGGCACAAAGCCAAAGCCATCGTCATCCTGAATCATCAAGACTTGCTTGGTAAATGATATCTCGAGGACCGGCAGCTGGGAGCCTGACTACACCTGATAGAACCAACAACAACAACAGCAACAACATGAACGGACTGTTTCAAGGCGATCATCAACTGAATGCGAGGTCCTCGCTTCCCCTTTCCATTGCTGGCAGTGGTTCCAGCAATAATTTGGCCAACCAACGCATAGCGCCCTCATTTATCGACAACAACAATGCTACCTTGTCCGTGTCAGATTCCTTAAACGCCCTGAACCGTCAGAACAAGTGTATTGGTGAAATCGGTGGCAATGGCGGCATTGGAAATGATGCATCCGCTCTTATCAAGGTTGGCATTGGAGGAAACAGCTTGTTCAAGGGTGGGAATTTGATGGACAACAACAACAATAACAAGAGCAATGGTATGATGGTGGACATCAACAAACGGAAACGCTCGTTACCAGAGACGAATGACATCTCTGTAAGCAAAGGCATCTCAACTTCAGTGAACGACCCAACCTTGCTGCAACGATTGAATACCCTAAGTGGAGGCTTTCCCATGCCCAAATGGGCTCGGAATGCGGCGAATGGGAATGGTAGTAACAGTGGTGGCTGTGGCAGCAGTATCCAAACTACTAGTGTTTCTACTTCCAATGATAGTACTAGTATCAGCTCGGGAACGGGAATCGGTGAACGTCGTCGCAAGGGAATGAGCATACAAGAAATGATGAAAGAAAGGAAACGTTTAGAACTGGAGCGAGTCAATAATCTAAGCGGTGGCTTTCCCTTGCCCAAACTGGACGCGGACGAAACTTCTTTGGGAAGGAAACAACAAGGAATCCAACCGGCCTCCCTGGATACCTTTCGTCAAGTCTGGTTGCAAACACCACCTGCATATCAAAAGGAAGTTTTGTCACGGAGACTGGAAAGGGGGGATTTTGTGGGCAAGAAGAAGAGAAGGACGAGATCATAGCCATGGACCATGGGGGTGCGAATGATGTGTGAAGGAACAGGTTTTGTCCTTTCGCCCATGTTTTGAAAAATATCGATTTATGAGTTATATGCGCTGATTGTTACCACCGTATGAGAAAATGACTATGATGATGATGATGATGATGATGATGATGATGATGATGATATTCTGGCAATGTTTTGGAGAGCAAGGATATTCAATATTCTCAATACAATACGTGTCATCCATACAATGAAGGACTATTTCATGTCTACTTGGTTTTACAGGAACGAAGGCAATCATGTGTACAATTAGATAATTCGAGTTGTAAATATCATGTTGTATGATTTACCTGTCTTTATATATGATCATCGAATCCTGTCCGAAGGCATCGCCAGATGGATACCAATACACCTCAATAAATGGTGTTTTATGGTCTTCTTGCACCGTGGAAGAACAACAAGCAGCAGCAATTGCAGCTGGCTGGTGTTACGAGGATGATTGTGATGACGGTGATGGTCGTCATCAACTTCCTTCAGACACACTCGGAAGTTCAAATCAATCTTTCATGAATGAGACTATCGCGAGGTCGTCAAAATAGATGTACAGTACGAGTACTAGCTAGCTAGTACACCAGGTAATACGGTACGGTACCGGGGGTACCATTAACGACCCATCCGATTGATTGCGGCACGATTCATTTCCAAACCTCCGGGTTGGAATCGAAATTCAGCACTCCGTAGATTGCTACGTACATTAAAGTACTGGAGAAGCAAAACAAACCTGGCTGGCACCGACTTCGAGACGTGCAATTTTGGCTGTTTGCAGCGTACGGCGTCGCGATCAAACAAAAAGCAAAAAATCATCGCTCCCCCCCAACTTCTTCAGTAGCATCCAATAATGTCGAGTAAACAAACGAATCCCAATGCACAAGACAATGACGATGATGACGGCGTGACGCCAGAGCCCCCCGCTAGAGGTCTCTTTGCGGATGTCTTTCGAGAGTCCCTTGGAGAAGACATAGACAAAGCGGACCTTGATGATGGCGAACTGTTCCGTCGCGATGGTCCAGCAAGGAAGCCTGATCACGACAATGGCCTTCCCGATTCCCCTGAAAGCATTACCCAATCTCGAGCGCCTCATGGCAAAGAGGCTGCTGGAATGTCCCGGTAGGTAGCAAAATAGGAGGATCGTCACTCAACAGGTCCGAGGAGTACCAAGCACGTCTCACGATGACCATTTTCTTGCCACTTTGGCTCTTTTGTACCTTCTGCCCGATACAATTAATTTTCATCATATCATGTCATATCATACAACAGATCTATTCATACAGATGATGAAACTGAATGGAGGTACGTTCCTGTTTCATTTAAATTCGGATTGGCCCAAACGATTTCGACAAACGGGTTTCCAGTGTACAGTGTGCAGTTCAGACCTGCCGTGTTTCAATTTTGAAACGACCATGCCTTTCTCACCATGTCGCTTCACTTTTGGCATGATTTGATGAATTTCTGCATCAACACCAATATCAATATGACTATCACCACTATCAATACGCTCAATTCCAAATCCAGATCCATGCCAATGATACCGCCTGATTCCCTATTGCCAACCTCCCCTTTTGATTTACGCCCGGCATCATCGCCGGCAGCTGCCCCCATGAGAGGAATCGTGGAACCAAACGCAAATTTTTATGATTTCAAATTTACAGACTTGGCAAGGCAGACAGACTTGATGACACGCCAAGCAGATGTGATGGATGAGTTTCTCGACGTTCTTCCCTTAAATCCCATGAAGCCTGGAGGAGGTCCAACCATTCAAAAGCTGAAGCCTCAGCGGCCACCTTCAAAAACGATGATTCTGACTCCTGAACAGCAAGCACAAATAATTCGAAACCCCACCAAGGCTACATTTATTCCACCATCAATTTCTGCCGTGGAAATCAGAATTGCTGGCTGGGGACCCTCTGGTGTGTGCTTGCTTCGGAATCTTCCAATAATATATCCCAACAGGGCCAAGATTGTTAGAGAGAATTCCTTTCCTTTGGAATCGCTGGCTCAAGTAACTGAACAAATCCAAATCTACGACAAAACTCTTGGATTTCAAGTTATTTACCAAGAGAAACCGCTCAAGGCTATCATCCAAACTCCCAACTGTGGGGAGTTCATTGTCGATTTTTGGGCTTCGTCGTCGAATCCTGACTTTTACCTGGCACTCCACCCACGACGAGAAGTTGGTATTCAAACCCAAACCCAAATGAGTATGCTCTTGAAGGCCTTGAAGGAAGATGGAGAGAATATTGCCAACCTGCCACTCCCTACCCCTCAGCCCTTTGACAGCAAAGGTTTGGAACGTCTGGAATCCTACCTTGAAAACTCAGTCCAAGTTATGGAAGCCAAGCGGGCCAAAACTACTGGAAAGCCAACGGAAGTTTTTAGGCGAAATGTTCTGGCAGAGGTCCACCATGCACTCATGTCCGAATCACTAGAGCAACGCAAATTTGCCATGTCATTATTGCTGCACGGCACTGATCTCAAGTCAACCATGGGATCCTTTGCATGCCGAGTGACCGCTGTCGTTCTGGCGGGATCTTCTTTGGACCAGGCGGAGTTGGAAGACCAGAATGCCATGGATATTCACAAGACTTTGATCCAAATCTTGCAAGAGGCCGAATTTGTCGGAGACGAGGACCGATTCCACGACTTTACCGAGATTCCCCAGGACAGCGACATGACCACCAACACCTTTCATTCCAAGCCCTTGTCCCCTCGCAAGCGTCCTCGACACTATGAGGATTTCATGTGCGAGATCCACAATATGGCCATGACCATTTTAGTCCAAGCACTCGAGGTGGCTACCTGTTTTCAACAGCACAAGGATCTGATACAACAGTTTGTAACCAACTATTACTTGGCCAACAATGGAGCCATGAATGCCGTTTTCGAGCGATGTATCTTTCAAGTCAATGACCCTTTGGCCAGCCATTCCCTTTCCAAGGGTTACTTGGCCTGCAGAGCGCTCCGCATCTTGGCCGAATCCAGTACTGAGTTGCGCAAGCAAGTGGAATCGGATGATCGCACCAAGTTGAGCATTCTGGGAGCCTTGGAAGTAGGAGAATCTAGTCACTGGTTGCTCCATCGAGAAACCAAGGTTTTACACAATTTGATTTATGGTCAAATGTGAACCTTTGCACGAATGATTATCGGGGGTCCAAGGTAGAAGGAATGACTACTGATCTTTCTCTCAAGTTCTCGGGATCATCAAGGCTCGATGAAGCAACGATTTGGTTTCTTTCACAAAGCTTTGCTTTGGCAAAAATCCTAGTAGCGTATTCGCAACACTGAGCTGGATAAAACGTACGAAGTCAGTCTCGGACGACATGTTCTCCATCGTTGGAGCATATGATAGGCAGGAATGACAGATCATGTATTGCTCGATGCAATCATGCATTCTTGGCCGCCCTCCCCAAAAGTTTCAAACGGTCTGGCGACGACGAATGAATGAACGGTACTAACATATCCATCCATCTATATCATCCATGCGTCGGAGTCCCAGCTTGCGTGGATTCGTTGTCATTTCCGATCCCCTTTGCGTTCTGTCCATTGCAGGTATCATGGTTCTCATCATTCGAGATGAAAAACCAAAACGGTGGTTCGTCTACCTTTTCAGCAGTCAATATGTCAGTCAATCAATTTCAATCCTTATTTCACTATAACAAGTCATGAGTCCATTATGGCACCGGTAGGGTCAAATATAGAATGGAAAGTATTACAGTTCATATCATTACTCGATTTGCAAACAAACCTGTGTAGTGCACGATCCTACTGATACTCATGCACAACCTGTATCATACACGTTTCAATATCACACAATCACGGCACTGTCGTGCCGACCATTTCCCTCATTATTAAAATCTAATTCTTAGATCAGAGGAGACAAGAGTTTTCGATTTTTTTTGTTCGTCTATGAAATTGTGAGTTACTATTATTCAACTTCTGATCTGACATGGTTGAAAAGCTTGTTTTGCCGCTTAGCCCAAATACTTGTATATTATATTTGCCTCCTTTCCTTTTTGAAATTAAAAAGATGGGAGAATGTAACAATAAGCCAAAAATCAGTACATTTTATACATCGCAATGGTAGTAATGACAAATGCTGTCTAGCGTAGCTTGTTTAGCGTTCCCAGAACTTGAATCCGAAGTAGTAGAATGTAGCCAAGAAAGGAGCGACGAAACCTCCACCTGTAAAATAAAGTGTCAAGCAGTATTAGTTTGTGATGGGAAACTGTGAATGAATAAATGGGTTTCTAATTCGAATCGCTGCCGCCAACGACAATGTCAACTCGACGAGACTGGGCTGCACTGTACTGACTCAGCAATGGACTAACAAGACGTACCCCAGAACCAGAGGTTGAAGTTTCTCTTTTTGGCAGCAAGTTCTTCAGCTGTAGGTGGTGGTGGTCGGTCCTTGAGAGAAACTGCAAAGGTAGAAGACTCCAAAGAAGAAGCAGGCCCATTCAGGTACTGTTGGATTCCGTCTTGCATGGAGGACGTCGAGGAAACACCTGGATGCTGTTGCAAAGAGGCAACATTGATTTGGATGGCAGCAGGTGGAACCAAGGCGGAAACAGCGGCCATGATGGCAGCCAAGATAAGGAGTTGAAGTTTCATCATCTTTTATTGTCTTGTAGCTTTTGGTTTCTTGGTTGCACTCTCAGGACACAAGATGTTGATGTTCGGTTTTGACTTGAAAGATCGACCATCAACATCCTACATGAATTGGCTGGAGTTCTGGTACTTTGTTTTACCTTAGACTGACACGTTCAAAAATCCCTGATCCCTGACTCACAATATTCGACCAAAATTCAACGTCGACTACTTTGACCAAAATTGAATTGGTCTCGTGCACGCGAGCCGTCATTCAAAGTGCAACGGATTTCCTTTTGTTTGGCTTCAGGTTTCAAACTTGACAGTTTCATTTGTTCCAAGACCACCATGTCTCGAGCTAACTGCATCACCGCTGAATCCTATTATCAGGCATCTTTGGATGCCATTGATGCTACATTTCAAAATGTTTTGAATGAGACAAGCGATCCACTTGAAGAGGCTCTCTTTCGTGAAACGCAAGTCTCTTTGATCGCTGCTTTGGAGCAAGTGGCCCAACCGATGAACGATTCGGAATATCAAGCACTGGTCAATGCCTATCACGAGACTCCTTATGATCAAAATGATGATGATGATGATGAATACGAGGGTGAAATGGGTCAACAAGCTGAAAACACCATTCAAGCGTATGACGATGAACAAGAAGAAGAGTTGGACGAAGAAGACTTACTCGACGTTGCGGCTCTGAAAGAAGCCAAAGCAAAGCGCCAGCAAATTCGAGCTTTATCCAATCGAGTAGCACGCATTCGCCAACGAGTTTTGGATCGGGTTGCTACGACAACCGAGAAAGAGTGCCTTATGGAACAACCGACAATTTGCATCGAAAAATCACCCGACTTGGACATTGACAAACATTCAGGTCTCATGCAATCATCACTGCAAAATCTGAATAACATTTTGAAGGATAGCACATGGCAAAAGAATCTTCCTCAGCAAACCCAAAGAATGCAAAAGACCATGAAAAGTATCCAGTATCATGAGATTACCAATCACCAATTGTCTCAAACAGAGACTGCCATTTTGTCACAAACCAACGACCGTTTGGACGAAGAACTGGAGAAAGAACGCCTTCAGCTTTCTCAAACCAGTGTTACAACAAAAGATCCAGTGGCAGAGGACGGAACCAATGCATCGCCAGAAGATCGATTGGCAACCTTTATGCAAGACTATTTCTAGTGGATTTCCAATTGAACTGTGTTCTAATAAAATAGGATATAAAACAAAAGGAGACATGACAAGCAAAAAATTTCAACAACAATTATGAAATGTTTTGTTCCTATTCTTTTAAAGAATAAAAAGTATTATAATAGAGTGTATATTTTTATAAATATTTTACAAGTTCGCCTTATCATTGCGAAACATTTGAAAACAATGGCAGAGGCTATACAACTTTTAAAGAAGCTTCCCAACCATTGGGAGACTTAATCGCGTGGCTGATTTGTACCTCTCAGTCTTCTATTTGGTAGGACCGCACAAGTGCTTTGACAGTACAACGCGAACGTGTACTTGACTGTCGATGACCCACCAGAGACGGCGCCACAAGTATTGGGAATCGAAGCATTGTCTGCAACTGAATCGAACAGGGCAGTATCAGTCATCCACATATCGATCAGAGTCTGAGGAGAGCCACCTGTGCAATGGGCGGTGTACAAGATGCCATCGGCAGCACACAATCTAACATCGGAGGAAGCGGTACACGTGGCTGTACCGTCAGCAAGAGAATAGTATTCGATGTAGACATTCTGCAAGACAGATCCAAATGTGTTATCAACCGAGAAAGTCACAGTACTGTCAGTTTGGCTCTGGATACGAATGGGAGCTCCACTGAAAACTGTTGATCCAGTGGTGGAATGATGTACCACATCTGCGGGACAAGCAGACGCTGTAAGATCCGAACAGTTGTCACCACTTGAGTCCAATGACTCTGATGGAGATGGTCCAATTGGCTCCGCAGGTCCAGATGGAATAGTTCCCTCATCAGAACTCTCCGCCCCATTCTCATCAACAGTAGGTCCAGTTGGAGTTGGTCCAGTTGGAATCGTTCCGTCACCGCCACCAGCTGGTCCAGATGGAGTAGGCCCAGAAGGTCCAGACGGCGTTGGTCCAGAAGGCCCGGATGGAGTTGGTCCAGTAGGTCCGGATGGAATAGTTCCCTCATCAGAACTCTCCGCCCCATTCTCATCAACAGTAGGTCCAGAAGGTCCAGATGGAGTTGATCCAGTAGGTCCGGATGGAATAGTTCCCTCATCAGAACTCTCCGCCCCATTCTCATCAACAGTAGGTCCAGAAGGTCCAGATGGAGTTGATCCAGAAGGTCCAGATGGAGTTGATCCAGTAGGTCCGGATGGAATAGTTCCCTCATCAGCAGAACTCTCCGCCCCATTCTCATCAACAGTAGGTCCAGAAGGTCCAGATGGAGTTGATCCAGTAGGTCCGGATGGAATGGTTCCCTCATCAGAACTCTCCGCCCCATTCTCATCAACAGTAGGTCCAGAAGGTCCAGATGGAGTTGACCCAGAAGGTTCAAAGGGTCCAGACGGCGTTGGTCCAGAATGTCCAGATGGAGTTGGTCCAGAAGGTCCAGACGGCGTTGGTCCAGTTGGCCCAGATGGAATAGTTCCGTCACCGCCATCAGTTGGCCCAGATGGAGTAGGTCCAGAAGGTCCAGATGGAATAGTTGCCTCATCAGAACTCTCAGAACTCTTGTCATCACCAATAATTTCGGGAACGGGAATAGCTGCCTCATCAGAGCTCTCGGAACTCTTGTCATCACCAATAATTTCGGGAACGGGAATAGTTGCCTCATCAGAGCTCTCGGAACTCTTGTCATCAATGTATTCGGGATCACAAGTCTCGCTACAGTCCAATTCGACAGCCAATTCAAGGTAATCGTCCAAGGCGTCAGGAGTCACACAAAAGTTACACTCTTCTTCGACGTTGTTTCCGCAGAAGCGGAAATAAAACTTGATTGCGGCCTTGTTCTCAAAACATACAGCCGTGAAGGTTCCATCCCATGTGGGAACCACGTCCATAAAGGTATTGCAGTCATGCTGAGAGATGGCATTATCGTAAAAGACGGAAAAACGGAAGACTTCTCCATCGACAAATTTTTGAGAGACCTTGAATTCCACAGTATCGCCGGTAGCGGAAACAATATCAATGGTCTCCTCGGCTTCAACATCTCCAATCAAGCGCTGGTATTCTCCGCCAACGGTACAAGTGGAGCCACCATTACCAACAGTGGTAACAAGTTGGGTACAGTTGTTGGGAACACCTGGCAATTCGGGATCTTCGGCATTGTTCTCTTCTGGAGGAAGAGTCCCAATCTCGGGAGGATCGGTGAAGGGGTCATCGAAAGTAATGATATCGGTATCATTGTCACAAGGACGGTAGCAAGCAATGTTGTAGGCATACTGCATAAAGTTGTCCATGGATTCTGGTGGGGAACACACATCACAATCATCGTGTGGTTCCAATTCGCATAGATAGACATACAAGGTCACGGCAGCTTGTCCATACCAGCACTTTGTGGTGAACTGGCGCGTATCACTATAAGCAACATCGTGTTCCACATCGCAATCTTGATAGGTTGAATTGGCACGATGGTGGACACCCCATTTGACAATGGATCCTTTGTAGTAATCTTGGGTGAGTTCAAAGACGACAGTTTCTCCATCACGAGAACGTTCCACGACCCTGATGGGGAGATTTTCTTCATCAACCTCCACCGAGGAGGCATCGCAATCTTGAGCACCTCCGCCGAGGAAACCATCTAATTGTTCCGTATCTTCATCTTCACAGGGAAGATCAAAGGGATCGAAAGCGTTGTTTTCGGCAGTGTTGGGACGAGAGCATCTGGGGTCACAGTCGATTTCAAAGGAGAGCTCCTTGTATTGGCTCAAGTCGTCAGGAGTGTGACACAAATCACAATTCTCTTCGCAAACAGCATCCTCTTCACTTCCACACCATCGCATGTAAATCTTTACTTCGGCCTTCTTGAAGTAACACTTGGCCGTGAAGTGCTCTTTCCATTCACCCTTGGTGACATTGGCATAAGTATCACAGGCACCCGCTTCAGCATCGGGTCTGTAAAAGACCGAAAGTGCTCCAACTTCTCCATCAAACCAGTCTTGAGAAATAACAAAGTCAACTTCGGAGTGTCTCTGATCGATGATTTCAATGGGAAGCTTGCGGCTATCAGTGTAATCCTCCAACATGGGAACAACGTCTTCAAATTCAATAAAGGCATTGGCGTTGTGGGTGGCAGGATGGCAGACTTGTGGCCCATCTCCCACTTCAGTCACCATGCTGATACACGAAGAAATGGGAGTCTCCAGCAAGAAACGAGAAGCTTCCACTTCATCCTTGGCGCGTGCAACGAAGCTGTAAAGATGGTTGTTTTCTCCAACGGTACGATTGGAGTTGAACGATTTTGATTGAACCTGTGGTTGAGGTTGCTCTGCAGTTTCGGCAGGCAAGTGCGTTTGAAAGTGAGGACCAACTTCCACTTTATCGAACGCTTGAACTTGTGCCGTAAGCAATAGCGCTGCTAACGTTAGCATTGTCTTTTGCATGATTGTTGTTATTGTGTTGTGGTTGTTGTGTCTTTGTTGCATTCGAAGCAAGTGATTGGGTCGCAGGTGAACGAATTCGTTTTCAAAAGTCACACGCGTTACTCTGGTGTATCCTCGTTTTGTTTTGTCGATACGCTTTCCAAAAAGAAGGGGCGAAGATGAAATTCGATTTCGAAATTCTTTCCTTTAGTTTACTTTTTTTCTCTCCAGTGTTGTAGATAGATAATTCAAGTCAGGAAGTCTAGCAAAAGGCGCCTCGTTGTTGTTGTTGTTGTTGTTGTT